TTAACAAAATTAGACATGTTGCTGTCATGTATGGCAGGTGAAATGGAATAAAGACTAAATCTAGTTCCTAGGCCTTATTCCCATCCCTCTCCCACCTCCCCCCACATGCTTACACTTACTATTTAGTCCTTCCTAATTCATAAATACCTTCATTCAAAATCACTAAGTAGTCAGTATTTCAGCAGATGTGTCAAAGCTATTAGTATTTATGGATCTTAGAGATTCCTTTGAAGGCCTCTGTGCCTGATGAGCTTGGTTTAAAACATCTTTCTCTGGACTCCAACATTTTCCTGTAATGATAAATTTTGAGTCTGTTTATGCAATGAAAAGACAATAGTCACCCTTCAAGTTACTGTCTTATTGAAATGTTCTCTGATGTGTGTGTTCCTGACAGTCGATTCCAAGACAATTAACTGAAAGAGAAGATAATGTCGAAGGTCTCTGTGTTCCGGCTCAGTAGTCAGGGTTCTTCCATATGGCATCTTATTAAGTCCCCTAACAACCCAGGAGTCTGAGCAGGTGTTTTTCCTTTTGTCAGACTAACAGAAACGGAGGGAAAAAGAAGTACTTTGCCTCTGGTCACACAGCTCTAAGTGGCTGAGCTGGAATTAGAACCCAGGAGAGTATAACTGAAGGCCCCATCTTTGCGATAATATTGTGGGTACATAAGTCAGTGGGGGCACCTATTAGGATTGACTGGGCTGCTCTTCACATGGAAAGCAGAAGATTCAACTTCTGAGCTCTTCTGCCTTTTTAGACCCACTTGCTGTGTCTCGTTACTGTCTCGGGAGTGAGAGGTTGTCTGGTCTGCTTCGGGCTCTCAGTGCCAATATTGTGCGTGCTAATGACCTTTGCCCCAAGGTCTGATTCCCAACCAGTGTCACTTCTTGACTTAATGAGAAGTTTGTCCTAATGGGAAATTAAGGATCATAAGACTAGTGATTTTACTTCGAGGGAAATTTATATTAAATAGTCTTTTTCTTCAAAAAAAAAAATGAAGAAATTAAGTCTCATTAAAATAAGTAGGAGTAAGGCATAATTTTAATGGATATTGGAATTCAGGGACTATCTGGTTTAAACGCAGGAATTGGAAAGGGCTTGTACTGCCTCGGTTTTTCCGGCAGGGTGCGGGGATACTGTGTAATAGTCTTTGTTCAGAAAACAGGCTTCTTCTAGAGAAGCCACCCTTTCCTTTCGATCTGCCTAAACCAACTCTAAAAAAAGAAATTGGTGAATAATCCAACAAGCCTTGACCATGAAGAACAAATCAAAACCAACATTTATGTCTATAGAGTTTGACAACACATTCTGAAATGAAACAGCAATTGCAGTAGAAGACAGAAGTTACAGCACCATGCTTCTCAAAGCTCCCAGCAATAACGGTATCACCTGGGAACTCATTAGAAACATAAAATCTCTAGACCTACTGAATCAGAAACTCTGGGATCGAGGCCCCAAAACTGTGTTAAACTCCCTCCAAGTGATCATGATACACACTGACGTTTACAAATGGATGAGTTAGTGTGGTGTGGCGTTGGAGTCAAGAGATCCCGGGTTCTGGCCTCCCTGCATACTATTTCTAATCCCGGACTTCAGTTTCCTTATCTGCTAAATGGGGATAATACGCACGTTGAGGTAGTGTTGTTATTTATTATTACTATGTTGCTCTGAGCTCTTGGCTTTGAAGATTTAAAAACATTTTCAGTTTCATAGGAGTCAATTTGGGCCAAAGCCAGCAATTCCTGGTCACCTTTGCAGACCATTCATATTACTGTTATTAAACATGGCTGACTGAATACACACATTTACGTCTGATCACTCCTGAAACCACACTGAAGTAACCGCAAAGGAATGGGTTTGTTTAGGACATAAGTCCATAAGACAAAGAGAATGAGGGAAGAATAATCAAAAATTTGAAAATTGGAAAACAGTGATTGACTTGGCAGACTCAAGAAAGCTCTTAAGGTGGCAGAGGGGAAATCTAAAAAAATAATTTGATTTACAGCTGAACACCTCCCCCCTCCCCTCAAAGACTCAGTCATTAATGGCAATAAGTGCTGTCAGAAGTGAGGGGGAAGGAGGGCTAAGCAAAAGAGAGCTGGTTCAAAATTTGTTTAAGAAGCATTTAGACCCCCCAGATATCTTCCTTCTAGGAAGCTGGGTCACTGCCTCCTCCGCTCACAGAAGCCTTGTTTATTCTTGAGAGTCTCTGGACTGAGGGACACGAGAGACATTGGAAGGCAGGGGTACCACATGAAAACAGGGCTTCAGGGAAAGCTAAATGTTGAGACCGTCATCCTCCCTGCTCAATTGCTGAATGATGCCAGTATTCTCCAGAGAGGAGATCAAGGACTTCCATGGGAACTCTGGGAAGTCTAAAAGGACAACCTTAAAGTTGGTTACACCATGGATTCTTTAACATAAACTCCAGCCAAGTCACCCTACAATCAGTTCTTACAGTTGACAACCCCACTTATAGACACAAAGCTTTTAATCAATTTCCTAGCTAGGGCCCTACTCTTAAATATAAGTAGACACTTAAGGATTATCATATATTTCTAATGTGAAAGGCGGGCAAACACAAATAAATGAGGAATCAAAGACCAAGCATGGAAAAGAAAACTACAAAATCCATCTATGACTGATATTCTCGGAAAATAAGAAAAGGTATTACATTAATGAAATAGAACAGAATGCTATTAAAAAGAAACATTTAGAGAAGAAAAAAATTCATGGAAATTAGAAGTATGAGAGCAAATTAAAATTAAACAAATGGAATAGGAGATAAAAGTTGAAGAAATCTCTCATGAAGTGATTGAAGACAGGAAAGAAAAATAAGAAAATTAGATTAATCTAGGAATCCAACACCTGAATAACAGGAGATCTGGGAAATAGAATAGAAGATGAAGGGGAAGAAACTATCCAAGAAACAAGCCGATGACTATGTGAGGTGATGGATGTTAACTAAACTTATTGTGGTAATCATTTCCCAAAATATACACATATCAAATCATTGTGTTATACATCTTAAATTAATACAATGCTATATGTTAATTATATCTCGATGAAACCGGGGGAAAAAAGATGGACCAAGAAAATCTTTCACCAATAAACTTCAAAAGCCTACCTCCATTTTGAAGAATTCTCTCTTCAATTATCATGTTTTTCCTTGATTTGTTTCTTTCATTAATAGTTATTCGCCCTGTGTATTCATTCAACCCATGCTTTTTCCTTTCTTTTTCTGTATTTGGCATAAAAGGGGGAAAAAAGATGTCGGTGTGGCTCTATCCATATCAGCGCACCTTCCATGACCAGTGTGTCCCCATCATTGCTGAACAGAGTTCCCAGGCGAGAAGGGCTAGAAAAGGCCCAATTCTTCTGCTGAGAATTGAGAGTGCAGAAACAAATATAGGTTTGAGGGTAGAGTCTTTTTTAAATTCAGTTTTAACATATCATCTGGAATTCTTCACAGAACACATTCAGTTTGCATAGACCCATCAACTATCGACAGAGGACAATTATTTTTTCATTGTTACAAAAGGGAAAAGCCTCATTTCAGTCCTTTCTTTACCTCTAAGCTTTGATATATCTGCAGAACTGGCCATGTATTTATTCTTTTTAAAACTTTTTCGGCCTTCTCAAGTTTAGGAGTAAACTATACTCTACAAAGTGATTAGAAGCTGGGGTGCGTTTTCCAACATAAATAATTTTATGAGTAATGACCATCTTCCTAGAGCAGCCACAGGTCTCCTTATCTCACTGAATATTACGGGTATGCTGGTGAGGGTCTAACAGCCCTGCAGAAGCTGGTCTCTGAGATTGCCAGATGCCTGGCTAACGCAGGGATGAGTTTTTCCCTTTATCACTTCCCTTTGGTAGCAGGCATATTAGGTGCCCCTCCAGCTTCTGGAAGCCGGAGTAGATGTCCCAAAGAGACAGAGATGAGAGAGGGGGAGGGAGCGTGGCTGATGGCTCTAGAGATTGGGGAGCTAAGGAGAATGAGGAGCTAGAGAGCTGGTTAAGGGTAAGCAGAGAATAGCGGGGCCTTAGGACACTTATTTCCAAACCCACTCCTTGAGTGTCTCTTTTCTGTCCCACCAAAAATCCTAGAAATTGAGCTACCTACTTCCTTTCTATTGTCCTTAATTTGTTGCTTCTGACTAGAGTTCCCTTCATAGGTTCATAGAATAGAACATGTCTCCCATGGGAGTTAGAGGTAGAAGGTGGGGTTTCGTGATGACATCATGGTCCTCTTTTGTGACATTAAGGTTGGGGGAGCAATAGGAGTACAGAATATGTACTTGTCGCATCTCAGAGGGGCTCGGATTTTATTCTCGCCACAGCAAAGCCACACATTCTTCCCAGGGGCCACATGACAGTGAAGTGGACTGTGGTGTTAACATGCACCTGAACAATAAGTGCTAAGCAAAGTTAGAACACCCTTCATTGCTCTCGACAGACTAATTACTATTTTTTTTTTATCTGTGATTGCATATTCCAGGCCTGCCCTTCTGTGACATTGCTGGGTAAGGGCCGGGACTGAGTGGCCCATTCATCCTAATGGTCCCAGTGGGTTGTATAATGCTCGGGACGTGGCAGGGCTGATAAAGATTACTTGCTGATAGGTTTGGATTCAGGCTGGTACAGAGCGCATAGGAACACGTTTGATCGGTGGCCTCAGGCATGGCTCAAACTTCATGTGGCTTTATACGTGAAGAGGTCCCACTGCCCCATCCCCCAGCTGCTTTCTGCGTCCTAGCTCTGGCCTGGTCGTGTCAGCTCCTGTCCACCTTAGCCCTGTCCTAGTGGCCTGGTGTCAGGACGCTCTTTCTCTGGGTCCACTCCCAGAGGCTCTTGGGGCGAAGCTCTCCTGAGAAGGCCAGGACAGCCCGTCCTGGGGAGGGCAGCTCTGGCCATCGGCCTGCTCTGGGCAAGGCAAGCATTCTCGGACCCTGGTTCAGGAGCCACTCACGTGTCATTTCTTCTCCTCCTGCCTCCAGCACTTCTCTATGCCACCATCTTCGGGAATGTGACGACCATTTTCCAACAGATGTACGCCAATACCAACAGGTACCATGAGATGCTCAACAGCGTCCGGGACTTCCTGAAGCTCTACCAGGTGCCGAAGGGATTGAGTGAGCGGGTCATGGATTATATCGTGTCCACCTGGTCCATGTCCAGAGGCATCGACACAGAGAAGGTGAGGTGGGAGGTGGGTGACGGACCGGGAGAAGCGCTGTCTGCCAGCTTTGCCCAGCGAGGCCCGAGGCTCTTTTCGGGCAGTGCTTCTCCAGCCTGGCTGTACCCCAGGGTCCATCTGGGTGGTCTGGGGTTTCTAGGACCTGCTTCCAGAGGTTCCGATTGCCTCCAGATCAGCCTTGCTCAAAGAGTAGCAAGTAAGAGCCATTATTTAAGAAATTGGAAAGACAGGGTGTATCTCCTGGGGAAGAGAAGAACTGGAAGTTTAACTGTCCAGGACAGAATTTCCCAAACTTGTGTGATGATGAGAATCAGGGTCACCCAGAGTGAGGCGATCCGTATTTCTGGTTTTCCTTTCGCCTCAGGCTAAGATGGCATAAGATGACACAGCGTTGCTACTGATCCTGTCTTCATTCAGAGTTTCGACATTTTGTTCATCATGGATTTGTTGCATAAGAGTTGACAATTTAAAAGGAAAAATTTTTGAACTAAATTTAACTGATCCCAACTTAAAAGTAACAATACTTTTGTTGAAATCTTATTATCTGCCACAACAACAACAGTAACATAATAACAGCACCAGCTACCAGATCTGGAACGTGGGTTAAGCACAAATATTTACTGTCCTTCCCCACTCACCTGGCCCTGCATTCATGCTTCAATTGGGCTCCACAACAGCCCTAGGGAGGGGGAGGGGGCACCGGTATTTCTGTCTGAGGGATGATGCAGAGGCCCAATTAATTTTAACTACCATCAGTCAGAGTTAAGAATGGCAAAGCCAGGATTTGAACCCAATTTGTCCGACTTCAAAGCTTATGCTTTTCCTACTATTCCTTTTTTTTTTTTTTAATTTAAAATTCACACCAGATAGAAGAAAAAGTCCAGATGGACTTGCCCTCGCTTCTCAGACAGGCCAGGCGTCAGTCAGGCAGGACATGTCCCTGGCTTTGCCAGTCACCTGCCACGGCTGTGACTGTTGTTTCTCTTCTGCTCTCCCAACAAGGCCGTGGGTCCTGTGGGTGCCTGGCACCTGATGGAGCAGAAAGGAACTTTGATCTCTCAGCCCTGGGGCTCCTTTTCCCAGGGGCCCAGAGGCCTCTGTAAAGCTGGTTGTGGGAAAGAAGCTTCAGTACCTGCCCAACCCCCATGCAGGGCTGAGCTGGGTGGCTCCTGTGGGAGACAGTATTATCAGCATATGCCCTTTCTTCCCCTCTCTGCTGTCTCTTGTCCCTGGAGGGCTTGGGATTTGCCCCAGGTCTTCATCTGGTGAAAGAAGGGACACTGTGGCAACTCAGTCCAGAGCCCAGCCTAGCCTGGTGGGGGCCCACTCTTCCTGGCAGGCAACTGCTGGGGAGGGAACCAGTCCGTGTTCCCTGTGCCTCTCCCTAGTTCTCCTCCCCTCCCTTCTGGATCAGAATGGTCCGCGATGACCCGGGAGCCGAGGTGTATGGGAGGTGGGAGGGCGGTGGTGCCGGCTTCTCTGGTTTTACTGGTAATTGGCTGGTGACCTCGAGCATGTCACTTATCCTTCTGAGCCTCGGTTTCCGTGTCTGTGAATACTAACAGACGGGACTGACCTCTAAGGCCCTTTGGGCTATGATCTTCTGGACTTCAAAGTCTCCCTCAGGCTGACCCACTGCTGTGCTGCCATGAGCGCTCACTTGCACTGGGCACCGTGTGTGCCTGGCATCGTACCAGGATGTTCCTCGCGGGGCACCACTCAGAATCCGCAGAAGAATTCTGTGCTCAAGTTCGAAATGAAGACTTGGAGAAGGAAGCTAAGCACCCACTGGGCACCGTGTGTGCCTGGCATCGTACCAGGACGTTCCTCGCGGGGCACCACTCAGAATCCGCAGAATTCTGTGCTCAATTTCGAAATGAAGACTTGGAGAAGGAAGCTAAGCACTATACCGCTTTAAGTGCACACAGCGAGTAAGTGCTCAGGCCGGAAACTGAATACAGATCTGCCTGTCCTGGCAGCCTGTTCTCTCAGCCGTGCCGCTGGCCCGCCCAGCCTGGGGAGGCTCCAGCAGCCTCTCCGGTGACATCTCCCTGTGGCCTTCGAGGCCTCCAGCATCAGCAGGGATGGTCTCTCCCAGAACCAAGCAGAAGGGAAGATGGCCCAGGAGAGGGCCTTGAGCTGACACCCTCCCTCAGACAGAGGAATTCAAGATCCCCCACCCAGGCCAGTGCGGGGCCAACAGAATGGTGGAGATGCCGATGGCTGTGGGGGTTTGTCATTCCTCCGCCTCAGTTTTCCTCTCCTCACACGTGCCTTCCGGTGGCTCCGGGAACGGTGCCTATGAAGAAAACATCATCTCCATGCCAAGGCCCCATTCACAAGCAGCCTCTGCCAGCAAAGCGCAGCGCAGGGGGAAGCAGATATTTAAAAGCGAACTTACCTGGAGGATCAATCTTGGTTTCAAACCACTGGGCACGGTTTCGACATGACACGCGAGCACTCCTCACTCTCCGGGGTTCTGCTTGGGGAGCAGAGGACCCGAATTAAATCGGCATTGCTACCGGAGTCTCGTTTTCAATGAGCTTTGAGGAGGGAAGTACTTAGCAAGCACTCTGCCCAAGCGTGAGCAGTCTGAATTTTCCTCTGTGTTGGCCGGTCCCCTCTCCCCTCCCCCAGAGAACATGCTGACTCCCTCAGCATCCTACAACCTCGGAGCAAGAATGCAGAGGCACGCAGAGGGAGGGGACAGGGCACTGTGCTGGGGGAAGTGTACTGGTAGATGTAACTTCACGTAATCCTCACAAGCCAATGTCAGCAGCATGCATGTGACAGAAGACACTAAAGTAGAGCAGTTGAGTCGCTTGGAGGGGAAAGAGCTGGGATTTCAACTGTGTGCCCTTCTCTTTCCATGGCCACACCTCCAGGCAGAGCACAAGGGCACCCCGGTGGGCTGGGGTATGAGCAATGCTGTCGAGGGCAAGGTGTGACTTGGTCTGAGTTTTGAAGGGTACTGAAGGACTTCTAAAAAATTCTGAGGCGCACACCAGATGCAGAGGCAAATGGTCTAAGGCCAAGAAGCGGGGGTGGGGAACTAACCAGCCCCCCTTTCCCCCCCACCCCCGCCAAAATGTCTTCACTGAACACATTTGATTTTATACCCCCTGCTTTGTTCACAGGCTAGGATGAGAGAAAAGGTTATTGTAGGAACACTCCTAATTTCTCGAAGGTGTCCTATTGTGTTACCTAGTGCTTGCTGTGTGAGGGTCCATGCAATGGTTTCTTGCGAAAATTTAGTGCAGGAAAGTATTTCTCTCTCTGGAACAGGCTGAGAAATTTTCATTTCTTCAAAAGATGAAGCCCACATGGTCTCTTATAGTTCCCATGTTGCCTTGACTTCCCTGATGCTGAGAGCCAAATTACAAGTCCCTTTATTTTGGGCAGCTGCATAATACAGGAAGTGACTGCTGTCTCAACTAGGCTCTGAAATCCAGCTTCCTAGTGTGAGATCCCAGCTCTGCCATTTCCACTCTGCCATGTCCTGGCCGTGCCACTTTGGGCAAGTTCTTTATCTTCCCTGTGCCTCAGTTTCCTCATCTATAGAATGATACATCTTAGGGTTTATGTGAGGATTAAGTTAACTAATGCGCGTAACGCTTAAAAATGTAAAATCACATCCCTCCCTGATTTTTTTCTCTCCTTTCCTTTTTTATCATTTTCTTTAGCACTTACCACTACATTTTACTATTTTGCTTATTATTTGTCTACTCTCGCTAGATGGTAAGTTATATGAGGGCAGGGATTTTTGTCTATTTTGTTCACTACTACGTTCTCAGAGCCTAGAGTGATCGCTGGCATGCAAGACGGTACTCGATAAAAATGAATGAATGAACAACTCTAAAGTACTCAGCAATGCCTGGCATGTCGCGAGGGCTCGGTGAATATTACCTTGTATCTCTCTTCAAATCACACTCATATGCAGTCAGCTTTATCTTGAAAATATATTCTGAGTTTGATCACTTCTCACTCCACTGCCGGCGTCCCAACCCAAGTGCCTTCACCTCTCACCTGGACTCCTGCAGAAACGACCTAACTCGATTCCTTGGCTCTGCTCAAGCTAGGGTCAGGGTCCTCTAACGCCGCTCTGTAGCTGGAATGATTCTCTTAAAATAGAGGTCAGGTCCTGTCGCTTCCCTGCTCAAAGTCCTCCAATGTGTCCCCAGTCACACTCAGAATAAATCAAAGGCTTAGCATAACCTAAAGTCTCAGGTGCTCTCCCGTGTGGCATCTCCTGAAACCTCATCTCCTACCCCTTCCCTTCATTCACACTGGCTATTGTTCAGGTCCCCTCACAGCCTTTGTTATTCTTCTGGAATGTTCTTCTTCTGTGTGGCTCCCTCTGACACAGTATGCAGGTGTCACCTCCTCAGAGAGGAACTTCCCCAACCGCCTAGACAATCCCACATTTCCCCAGCCCCGTGATTCTTGGGCTTCTCTTCTGAGCATTTAGCACAGAATTTTGTCATCACTGCCTGCAAAGAGAGGAAGCTCCGCAGGGACAGAGACAGTGGCTGTCTTGTCCGCCGGCACACTGAGTGTGGTCTAGCCTAGTGGGGGTTGCTTCTGCCCCCAGGTGTTTGGAGGCAAAACACCTGGGGGCAGTGGGCCAGAGGCCACAGCAAGAAGGACCCTGACACCATTTCTTCCTGTGCCCCACCAGGTCCTGCAGATCTGCCCCAAAGACATGAGAGCTGACATCTGCGTGCACCTGAACCGCAAGGTGTTCAAGGAACACCCAGCTTTCCGGCTGGCCAGCGACGGCTGCCTGCGGGCACTGGCCATGGAGTTCCAGACGGTGCACTGCGCCCCAGGGGACCTCATCTACCACGCAGGAGAGAGCGTCGACAGCCTCTGCTTTGTGGTCTCCGGTTCCCTGGAGGTGATCCAGGACGACGAGGTGGTAGCCATCCTAGGTAGGTGTTGCCTTTGCTGCATGGAAACCTTCTGGTGCCCACGGTTGGCTTAGCTACTGGGCAGCTCAGTGCTGCCACCGCCTGTAACCAGAGACTGCTCCATAGGCCAAGGCCAAGTGTTAGCATCTGTCCGTCTACCCAACAAACGAATATTTGAGTGCCTGTTTTGTGCCAGTTGCTGTTTGAGATACTTGCTGGTGGGCTGTTTCGATGACAAAAATGGGTTTTGTCCCCAAGAGACTTCCAGTCTACTGTAGGGATGAACAAATAAGCAGACTTTCACATACAGTGGAAGGGGCATCTAACCCAGTATTCAAGTGTTGGAAAGGCTTCCTGGAAGAAACGACACCTAAGCTGAAATGTAAAGATTGAGAATGAGTTAGCATGGAGAAAAGAAGGGACAAAGAAGTATTTTAAGCAGAGGGGAAAGCACATGTGAAATCGCTGCAGAGAGAGAGAGAGAGAGAGAGAAAGAGAGAGAGAGAAGGTGCGAGAGAGAGCGCGAGTGAGCCCGTGAGGGAGCACACAATTCATTTGTAGAACTTCTTATGCTTCGCTGTGGCTGGAGGACACAGAACGAGAGAGAGAGAAAGAGAGAGAGAGAGAGAGAGCGAGCCCGCGAGGGAGCACCCGATTCATTTGTAGAACTTCTCGTGCTTCGCTGTGGCTGGAGGACACAGAACGGGAAGGAAGATGGTGAGAGATGAGGCTGGGGAGGGAGCCAAGCTCTAGGCAGATCATGGAAGGCTCTGGAAGTCATGTTAAGGGACTGGAATTGTATTTGGGGGAACTATCAAAGGGTTTAAAACAGGAGAGAGGCGTGATCAGATCTGTGCTTTAGAAAGATGATTGTGGTTGCAGCTTGGAGAGTGGATTGAAGGGGAAGGCTGGGACAGGGAGATGGACAGAAGCAAATGGAGTTGACATATTTTAAAAAGTAGAATCAACAGAACCTGTTGCAGGATGAAGGATCTACTGTGGGGGCAGAGGGAAGAGTCTATCAGAACTGCCAAATTTCTCTCTTGGATAACAGGGAAGCTGGTCTGCCATACACCGTAATAGGGGACGTGGGAGGAGGAGCAAGGATGTGGGGGACATGTTGCTATTTTGCATGTTGAGCATCAGTGGCCTCTGAGAATTCATCTGATTGCCTGAGGTAGCCACAAAGCAGCTCTTTGTTGGGAGTGTGTCTACCTCTTTGAGGGGGCAAGCCGTCATAATAACAGCCGTCATTTATGGTCATCGACTCTGTACTGGGCATTTTACATACAGATTCTCAATGAATCCTTACAGTGACCCTACGAAGTGATTGTATTATCCCATTTTGCAGATGAGACAATGAGCACTTAGAGAGGTTAGGGAACTTTCTCAAGATATCACAGCTGACAAGGTCCATGGAGCCAGCATCCTGGAGTCCCTCAGACTCCAGAACCTCTTCTCCGATCTATTTGGCGATACTGCAGTCCCAAAGGAGATTTATGTAATCTGCTGGTTATGTTGCCGGGTACTGCCAGACATTGTAGATGTATATTTTTATTTTTTACATATGATTTCTTAGGAGAATGAGACAGGGAGAGATTAAGTTACACTGAAGTTAGAATTGAGATTCAGACGATGTATCTAGACTTAGATAATTTTTTTTTTTAAAAAAGGCCCGGACTCTGTTCCTGCTTGACTCTGGAGTGCATGATATGTAGCCTTCCTCTTGTCCCCCTGGCCCCAAATCAACTTGCCCTCTTGATTACATTCTGCTCAGGTTAATCCAAGGATGATTTAAATACCTTCAGTACGAGCAGGCAGATGGTCAGAAGCAGACTGGGATAGAGAACGGGTTGGGGATGGAGACTGAAACTTTTTGCTAAAATAAGCGTTCTGGATTTCTGGTGTCCATTGAAGTCTGCACACAAGATTATGCTGTTCCCGGCCTTCCCCCTCCATAGAGACATGAGGTTTGACTGTATATAAGGAACAGAGCACATGAAGGATGCAGTCATTGCTTTAATATAGCTGTAGGGAA